TTGTTTTAATGTAAATCCCTCAACGTGCCGTCTTTGGAGTTATAAGAAGATACCTCAGAGCGTAATATTATGTTCTGCCTTCAATGGCCAACATGAAACTATTTGGGAACTCCAAACAATTGCACTCTGAGGGCGTGCCGCTATGATTTTATTAGATGGATTTTAGGACGGATCCCTTGCATATTTTATAATAACTATATATATTCATGTATATAAATATAAAATAGCTGAACATTCATCCATTTTTATGTTTTCTTCGAATTGATCTTAAGATCTCAACATATGATTTACATGTCGAGCTTCTCTGCTTTGCAGAGTTTCTTTGAAGCCCGCCCGTTCCCCGATTAGTTTTGTCGCCATTGTTCTTGCGCCTGGGGCGATGAATTAGGCTGATTTCATGGTGAAAATTGATCGATTCTCCATGCATTTTAGGGTATCAAAGTATTTCCCTCGAAACGAAACCGGGTACTGTACCTTCTTCACAAACAGAAAACAATGTCATCTCAGCTCCTCAGCTGCTTTCCTCTGCCAACAGCACAGATATCATTTTTTGATATTTTTCGTATGGAAAGACATTGATGATTTCCAAATAAGGTTGACCTGAATTAATCAGACCACCTTGATCGCGAAGTTTCACTAGGTTTTATGCTAGATACATCGAACTACTTTGTGAACTTGCGTATTTCACTAGGGTTTATGGATGTGTATGGTAGATATCTCCATAGTTAACCAGGATTGTAAACCAACTTATACACCACTGGGCGAAGTGTCTCCCACCAGTCCCGTATCTCCTGCGCAAAGTCCGAGGGATTGGTCACTGTCACTGGGATCTCTTGTACCAGATCCTTCCAGGATGGCATCGCGGAAACATGGGGAAAAGGAACGGGACACCTGAAATGAAACCATGGGCCATGGTAGGAGATCTACACATCTTGCGGACCAATGGGGGAAGATTCCGACCATTTAGGGCGTTTTGGGACAGGAGTTGTTCCGACTTTCAACAAATACCCGGACACTTTCAGATCATGGTCATTTGGGATCATCCCTGGCGTCAGCAGTTGGCGTAAAGCGAAAAAAAGGGTACGTTTAGTAATAGGTGGAAGGGATTTCTTTTAAACACCTCCAAAATCGTAAAGTTGAATGGTTCATAATAATGAATCGTTACCACTCATCAAATGATCATTGTTTTTTGAGGTCTTTAATTACAAATCAGTATGCCAAGATAATTATGGTTAATCATTAACCATACCTATATAATTACTCTATAATAATACCATTGTGGTCCCTGAGGTCTTTAATTTTACAGTAACCCATACCCATATGCCTTTAATATTGACCCGTAATCTAGTAGTATTCTACACGTTTCTTTACTTTATCTTATAGTAATGTAGTATGTGAACCCTGCCGTAAGTCATAGCTGGTTAATGGGTGGTTTTCCCCCCAAGTCATTTGGTAATTTCATAGGTAACTCAACCCATCTCTATATTTACAGATATTAAATCTAACAGATAACCGTTGCTATCAATATGGCAATAACTACTGGATCAAATTGTAGATACTGACTATAACCATCAATTATTTTAAGTATTAAAATACTGGTCATGGCAATAGTTATATTTCAACATAGATGGCACCATTGAAATTCTGAAATATTCCTATTGCCATAGACAATATTGATCCAATATGTATTTTATAATCAGTATCAATACAATAATCATTTGTTGCCAATGTTGATAGCCATAGTCTATTTGATCAGTAACTACAATAATGGTTTACCAATAGCTAAATTTCAAAACTAGATATGTGAGATCACTATTGAAATATTCCTATTGCCATTGTCCATATCGATCCAGTATTTATTTTACATTAATCATTTATTGCCCATGTTGATAGCCATAGTCTATTTGATCAGTACAATAATATTTTACAAATAGCTAAATTTCACATCTATATAGATATCACTATTGAAATATTCCTATTGCCATTGCCAATATTGATCCAGTAGTTGTTTCACAATAATCATTTATTACCCATATTGATAGCCATAGTCTATTTGATCAGTACAATAATATTGTACCAATAGCTAAATTTCAAATTTAGATATCACTATAATTACAGTAATTATAGTCATCACTTACTCTATAAAGTATTAACATACTTGTCATGACAATAGTCATATTTCAACATAGATCTCACTATTGAAATATTCCTATTGTCACCAATGATATCCTTTTGGTAAAAGTAGAGGGGCCCGTTTGGTATACCACCTATCATCATTTATCTGTTGTTAAAGGGGTAAACAACCCTAGTCAACCAACCAATGGGAAAAGGACATCTATTAATCTATGATTGTCATGATCAATAGATATTATCACGATTTTTCAATAGGAATATTTACCAGTATGAATGATATCACTATTGTCACTATTGTCATATCACTATTGTAATTTAATGGTATCACTATTGTCATTATCACTATTTACCAATATCATTACTGATTTCACTATTATATATAGATATAAATAGATCTATCAATAGATCTACTAGTCTATGATATCATTCATGATACCACTATTATATATATATATACATATATTAATGATATTTGATATTTTACTGACCCACGGCCACCGCCTCGTGCGTCATGGTGACCGCGTAGTTGCGCCGGGGACCGCAGGAGATGCAACACCTCGGCACATGGAAATTTCACCTGGCCAAAAACTAGGATTTGACCAACAAAAACTAGGACTTAACCATTAAACAAATACCGTGAAATATGGGGATTTAACCAGCAAAAACTAGGACTTAACCATTAAACAAATACCGTGAAATATGGGGATTTAACCAGCAAAAACTAGGACTTAACCATTAAACAAATACCGTGAAATATGGGGATTTAACCAGCAAAAACTAGGACTTAACCATTAAACAAATACCGTGAAATATGGGGATTTAACCAGCAAAAACTAGGACTTAACCATTAAACAAATACCAGTAGAAATATACCGGAAATATGGGGATTTAACCAGCAAAAACTAGGACTTAACCATTAAACAAATACCGTGAAATATGGGGATTTAACCAGCAAAAACTAGGACTAACCATTAAACAAAATACCGTGAAATATGGGGATTTAACCAACAAAAACTAGGACTTAACCATTAAACAAATACCGTGAAATATGGGGATTTAACCAGCAAAAACTAGGACTTAACCATTAAACAAATACCGTGAAATATGAGGATTTAACCAACAAAAACTAGGACTTAACCATCAAACAAATACCGTGAAATATGAGGATTTAACCAACAAAAACTAGGACTTAACCATTAAACAAATACCGTGAAATATGGGGATTTAACCAACAAAAACTAGGACTTAACCATTAAACAAATACCGTTAAATATGGGGATTTAACCAACAAAAACTAGGACTTAACCATTAAACAAATACCGTGAAATATGGGGATTTAACCAACAAAAACTAGGACTTAACCATTAAACAAATACCGTGAAATATGAGGATTTAACCAACAAAAACTAGGACTTAACCATTAAACAAATACCGTGAAATATGGGGGTTTAACCAACAAAAACTAGGACTTAACCATTAAACAAATACCGTGAAATATGGGGATTTAACCAGCAAAAACTAGGACTTAACCATTAAACAAATACCGTGAAATATGAGGATTTAACCAACAAAAACTAGGACTTAACCCAGCAAAAATGGTGACCTAGCCATGAAATATAGGGATTTCACCTGGCCAAAAGTGGTGAGGAATGGTGATTTCACCATGATTTAACTCATTTTTGTGCTTCTGAAATTCAGACTTAGCCATGAAAATGTTGACTCAGCTATCAAAAATGAGGATTTCATATTATTTAACGATCAAAAAAGGGGATTCAATTGGATATAATTCGATATTGGATATGGGGAAATCAAACCTAGCAATGGAAAATCCACCATTTAGTTCGATGATTCTCCCATTAAGACCACAGAAATGTGTTTCTCTGAAAACAAGGTACCACAAAACCTAATGGTTTATCATAAGATTCTTTATAACGATACAGTAACCAGTTTTAGGTATAACCCATTTTCAGACACAGCCATGTTGCAATCACCATTTGTGATCATTTAATGGTGACAACATGACAAGCGTGGAGTCGCTTAGACAGCAACAGGTCAAAACTATACTACAACACGTACATGTTAATAGCAGTATAGTATCTCATTGTTTTCCAATAGTAATATATAAGATAGTAATCTATATACTATAAACTATACAACAAGACTAAAACAATGATTTCAAGAGCTAGTGGCAGCGCATCCCATTTTTTCCCTGGCACTGGTCATCTCTTCAGACACTTTGGTCGCTGGCTACGGGAGAATCATTGGAATCTATGCATCTACGCTGCACGCAAAGCTTTATCTTTGAAGGATTGTCCTTTCACAACAGTACGTTGGGAATCATCGCCAAATAACAAAATCATAGGTAAAAAAAACCATACATCTGACCCCAACAAGCAAGGTTTCTGAGGTGTTCTAAGGCAATTCTCAGGTCATCTGGAGGAAAAAACACATTCACCATATCCTCGGAAATCATTGGTGTCATATCCCCAACTTCTGGTTGGTGGTACCCCAGTTTTATGATGTGGTACGCCGAAGAAAAAATGGATACCCCCAAATCCCAGGGTTGACAGACAGTTGATAAACATATTGAATACTGTAAACATGCAATTTATCATTGCAAATCAACCCCACATTTTGGACACACCTACATTATTCTGTGGTGAAATCCCAATGTTTGATGTTTACATCCCCATTTGTACCAAATACACCGTTTTTAAAAAATAGACACAGATTACCCAAAATCCTTGGATGATAGTAGGTCATGTGTCGATCTCCTTTTCCTTCATGCAACCCCAAAAAAGAGATAAACATGTTTCCAAGATGATATAAATATATAGTGTATATATATAATTATATATATTATGAAAACCCAGCAACTTTTTTGCAATGCCCTAGTGCAGCTCTGGAAAATGTACGCGTGGCAACTCAAGCGGTGACCTCCCTTGAATCCTGGCACCAGTCGCGCTCGGAATGAGAGGATCGACGAGGGGTGATACCTAGACCTAGAAAGAATGTGGCATCTAAAAGCCAAAAAGGTGGATGTATACATATAATCCACATTAATTTAATGATGTATATGATAGAATATGATATCTATCCGAATCTATTCAATATACATCTTTATATATATAACTAACCCTGGTAGTTGATCGTAGTTGATGGTATACAAAAATCATCGGATTACACCGGCAAAAGCAACATCCCCATCCCAATGTCCCATGTGTGGCACATGGCAAGGGATTGATGAACTAAGATGGGTTGGTGGTTGACCTACCCCTCTGAAAAATGATGGAGTGAAAGTCAGTTTGGATGATGACATCCCCAATATGATGGGAAAGTCATAAAAATATAAAATGTTCCAAAGCACCAACCAGAATCGCTTGGATGATTCAGTTGAGAGAACAAGGACATGAAAGGATCAACCACCATCCATCGATATCGATCTTCTCCTCCACAGCATCTGTATCTGGTAGGACACTGGCGGCTTCTTGCAAAGCCTGAAAATGACACGGCTTCTGCAACGATTTCTTTCGTTAGGGATGGGAGATTTGAAAATAAACAGAAAACACATGTTGGATTAGATCTTGCTAATCCATGCTAATCCAATGACCCAAGTCATTTTAATTGGATGTGAAGTCCCTTATGCCTCAAACATCAATTTTTCCCTCGGCATACTTTTCAGACCTGGGCCCGCCATATCATGGATCCTCCAGAGATGGTCATGGGGATGTGTCTCCGGTAGATGATGCTTGGTTGCTTGTTAGATGGGGACATCTTGGGGATCTTTCATTGGGATGGATATGACCCTCTGGTAATGACTAACAAAACTAATTATGTAACATCACCATTGAAATAGTGATTTTTCCCATGAACAAATGATGATTTTCCCTAGTTCTGGTGATGTTTACCAAAGGGTAGATATCGTATAAATTTGAAACCACCTTCCAGACAACTACATATACATCACTGGTTGCTGGTTTCACCTCCCTAGACAAATATTGATAGTTGGGGATCATCCCAAATATGGTTGAACATCAAAAACAGTTGAAACCGCCAACAAAAGCACATATGATTATCTGTCAAATCTATATGTTTATGTCCAAATCTTCTCAAAATTGGTTGATATCTTGATTATCTTGACATGTACAGTAAAAGTCATGCGTTGTTTACGTGCATGTCATTTCATGTAGGGTTTATATGTGCACATGTCATCCGGTCATATCTCCACCGACCCTTTGTCGCATGAAATGCGTCTATGCTATAGATACTCCAAGCAATTCTATTTGAGATATCATGTATATTGTTGAAACACAATAGTAAAGATTATGCACAAGTTCACAACTGTACAATCTATGTACATATGTATATGTATATATATATATATATTATGTATATTTTTGTATGTGTGTGCCTGCAGGATTGTTTGCCCTTAGGTTCCTAAAATATTCATATTCGAATTGCGCAATACGGTGTTTCAAATAAACAGAACAACATAGTTCCGAGCATTAGGATTCCGAGATTAGAAAGGGTGATAATTCTGTGAAAATGCTCAGCGAAGTCCAAAACCTGAAGGTTTGAATGAGTCATGATCCACCCCAAGTTATCATCCAAGTTCGTTGTATGTGTCTTTTGATTTTTGAATATGTTCAATGGGGAAACCAATAGTGACTGGTTCGTGGTTTCAACCCCTCTGAAAGATATGAAAGTCAGTTGGGATGATTATTCCCAATATATGGAAACATATAATATGTTCCAAACCACCAATCAGGTGATAATGTTAATTTGCAGATCGTCAGCTATGGTGTGGGAAGTCAGCAGCCAAACGAATCCCATGTGCAGTCTTGGTGCTGTCGATGATCGATGCATCTTAAGTACTCCCTCAAAAAACGGAACCCTCCGGTAATCCAACGTTATGATAGTTATGGAAGATGACCCATATATCATATACCATATATCTGTCTATCTGTCTGTCTATCTATCTATCTGTTTGTTTGCTCTTGACCGCTTTGATTTTCCATAGCGATGTTTCGAATACCCAGCAGCTAAGGGATCCAGTCATTTTTCCCAATGGATCCATCAGCTCCAGGGTCACCAAGCCTTGGATCCAAGGCTTTTGGCATAGCTCAAGATCCCAGACCTTGGAATCGCCACCATCTGACCCAACGTCGTGACCTGAAGTTTAAGGGATCTCTTTGGCATTCAAAAGTGCTTCATCAATAGACTACCATATGTATATATATATATATACGTATATATATATATATAAACATTATCATAGTAACAGCTTCATTCACTAGTAACAGCTTGTATCATATTAACCGCTCCGTTCTTTTTTCCCCCACCTGCCAGGTGAGGGTTGTTAGATTTTATCAGAGTTGTTCTTCTCCTCTTCCTCCTCCTCTCCTTCCTGCTCCTTCTCCTCCTTCTCCTCCTCCGCGTCCTCCTCCTCTTCTACCACCTTTGCCTCCACTTCCACGTCCACTGTTGCCTTGCCAACTCTTGGCCAAGCTCTTCGCCAACTTCGGAGCTCAGTGCGCACTGCTGGACCTCAACCTGGGACCTTCCCAGCTCAGTGCGCACCGTTGGACCTCAGCCTGGGACCTTCCTAGCTCAGTGCGCACCGCTGGACCTCAACCTGCGAGTGCGCACCGCTGGACCTCAACCTGGGGCCTTCCGAGTTCAGTGCGCACCGCTGGACCTCAAAAGCCAGATAGAATGCCAGAAGATATGCCAGATAGAATGTCAGATAGAATGCGAGAAGATATGCCAGATAAAATGCCATAAGATTTGCCAGATGATATGCCAGAAGATATGCCAGATGACATGCCAGAAGATATGCCAGATAGAGTGCCAGATGGAATGCCAGAAGATATGCCAGAACATCTGCCAGAAGATATGCCAGGTAGAATGCCAGAAGCTATGCCAGATAGAATGCCAGATAGAATGCGACAAGATATGCCAGATAAAATGCCATAAGATTTGCCAGATGATATGCCAGAAGATATGCCAGATAAGAATGTTAGAAGATATGCCAGATAGAATGCCAGAAGGTACGCCAGATAGAATGCCAGATAAAATGTCAGATAGAATGCCAGAAGATATGCCAGATAAAGTGCCAGAATGTTTGCCAGATAGAATGCCAGAAGATTTGAGTAGATAATATGCCAGAAGATATGCCAGATAGCATGCCAGAAGATATGCCAGGTAGAATGCCAGATGTCAGATAGAATGCCAGAAGATATGCCAGATAAAGTGCCATGCCAGATGTCAGATAGAATGCCAGAAGTAACAAAATGTATAAATGTCATGGTGGGGATCACATGAAGTAAAGTAATTTCCCCCTTTTTTGGGGGGCCACTCCAGTGATATGAAAAACCAGCCATTGATGCAGCCGGTGGCAGTGGCAAGTCACCACTTCGCCAGATCTCTGAGGTCATCGGGTAGAACGGCGTCAGCAGGATCTGTGAAAACCTGTGGTTTTTCTGCCCGTGGCGACTTCCGCGGATTCGATGTTGAGAAGATGGTGATTGAACCATTTGGAATATATGTTGGATAGGATATGTTTGAAAACATGGAATGACTATGAGGCAACATGACATGATAATTCTATGATGATTTAGCAATAAAGATTGTGATTACCTGTGATTTTCATGGACATTTCACCAACCAAAGTGGCGATTTCATGATGATTCAACCAACCAAAATGTTGATTTCATCATGATTCCATGGGATTGCCACAAATTCAGTGGCATTGGCCGGCTCAACAAATCAACAGTGGTTTGGGACTTCCCAAATTAAATGGAGATTTATAACTGGGAACAAAGGAGGGTGATTATTCAGCAAAACGTGGTTAATTAATTACTGCAGGTTAACTAACATTCACCAGCAGCCGTGATTTGGGTTTGTCTGGAAAAATGGTTCTTCAACTAGAATTAACATATATAATTGTCTCATATTTTACACCATTTAGAGTGCCAGTTTTGGTATCCCGTATTCCCCTTTTTCAGACCAACACAATTATCAGATTCTCGATTAAAAAATCCCTTTTTCATATCTTATCCCATTCATATCCCATTTTCCAACCCATGTTGATATATGGATGATGATAGCAATTGTTTTCCTTCTCCAACTAACGAGCCAGCATTTCTCCACGAAAAAACCATCGCAGATAACTCTTCTCTGCCAGCGTCCCCTGAAATGTAAAATATCTCAACACCAGATTCTGAGACAGAAAAAAAATCCGAACAAAAAATGACCAGAGATCTTACTTTCATCTGGTTGGTGGTTTCAACCCCTCTGAAAAATCATGGAGTTCGTCAGTTGGGATGATGACATTCCCAATATGATGGGAAAGTCATATAGCAGCCATGTTCCAAACCACCAACCAGTCATTAACAATTATATAACCATTATATAACCATCATTAACCATCATTAACTTTCCATATTACTTTCCCAGTATGTTTCTTTGTGAAAAACCGATCCCCACCTGCCAGCGATCTGCTGGGATGCCATCGAAGATGGCCTCACCGCGATACCGATGCTGGGGAAAATCATTGGCTTTTGAGCCAACCTTTAGGGTACCAATGATTTTAGTATTTGGGGAAAAACATATGGATAATTATGATATTCTTATATCTTATTATATATTATTAATATTATTATAGAGAGAGAGAGAGAGTCATAATAGTAGATTGTATATTTTCCTTGAAATCCAATGGCTTGAAACCAATGTTTCCCATTGAGTTGCTGTTGGCAACAGTCAACACATTTGACAAAACATGCAGGCGAACCAGAAAACCAGAAAACAGTTACTGCTCAACAAGTTGATGAAAATGACTCATATACTGATAGATTACGTAACAATAACAAAATGTTTTACTGTTACTGTAGTTGATGCTACATCGAACTAAATTTCTCAAGTCCGCCTTTCCCACAGGGCAGCTTAAAATCACCCGCCTCGTCCACCAACGACTTCGGGCTCACCTACCACCAAGGCCGCTAGTTAACGGTTTCGTCTTTTAGGTATGTTTGGCAATATTGGACAATGACATACATAATATCAAAAAATACCGGCCAGATGATTGGTGATACCGCCACAAGGCTATAGGTCATTTCTACACATTTCTACCTTTGCTGATCCTGTTTGAAAACACCAGCCACTCAGCACTCCCGTGTTGCTCGCCTGCCGAATCAGCACTTTCCTCACTTGCACCGGATGCCTCGGGGGTGTTGCATTCATCAGCCACGCAGCATTCATCTGGTCAACTTGGATGCTGCCCCCCAGTCAACTAACATAGCTAGGGAAAACTGGGAAAACCCAGATTGTTACCAATGGTAAATCATCGGCCAACCATCGGTCACTGTATAGTCTTTACATGAACAACTAGCTTTATCAGTAGGTTTTTTCCCCATGGTATTGTGATAAAGCTCCCAATGGGATCGCAAAACGCGAAAACAAGGTGGGCCAGAGAACCCCGAGGCAAGACGGCGCGCAGCACATCTTTGTTAAAAAATCCTGTGGCGTGGGCAGCTGTGCTCTGCACGAAAACGACGTAAGATCTTTACTGAAACATCGTGCGCGCTGATGGTATCAGGGGCCACAGTTCACCACAGCATGCTGTGTCAGCTATGTCTACATTCTTCTAGTCTGCTAATGCAATTATATCTTTAACTCTATCCCATCTTTCTAGTCGCTATTTATTCCTGGGTTCTCGTTTAGTTTGCTTCGCCGCAGAGGGAGCGAGGACAAAGCGTGGACGGACAGAACACCGTGCGAAATGAAAACTAAACGACGGAGGGAGTTGACCAAAAGAGCATGAAAACGAAGATATGAAGATGACAGATGGTGAATGATAATGAAAAATGAGACATGACGAAAGATGGGTAAAGACTTCTCTGCACAAAAACTCCTATGCGTAAAAGCTACTGTGTGTAAACGTGTCTGTGCGTGCAAATTTCTTTGTGTAAAAGTTCCTCTGTGTACAGTTTTGTTGTGAAAAAACTTCTGTGTGTAAAAACTTCTGTGAAAAAGTGTCTGTGTGTAAAGTTTCTTTGCGTAAAAACTTCTGTATGTAAAATCTTCTGTGGGTAAAAACTTCTCTGCGTAGAGGGTCTTTTTATGTATAAGTTTCTGTGTGTAAAAGTTTCTGTGTAAAATGTCCTCTATGTGTAAAAGTTTCTGTGAAAGTTTCTTTGCGTACCAGCTTCTGTGTAAAAACTCCTCTGTGTTGAGTTTTTTTGTCTGAAAGCTTCTGTGTGTAAAAGCTTCTCTGTGTAAAAGACTTCTCGGGGTCAAAGCCTCTGAGTGTACAAGCTTCTCTGTGCAAAAGTTCCTCTGTGTAAAACCTCCTCTGTGAAAAAGTTGCTCTGTGAAAAAGGCTTCTCTGCGTAAAAGCCTCTGTGTGTGCAAGGTTCTCTGTGTCAAGACTTCTTTGTGTAAAGATTTCTGTGTAAAAACTACTCTGTGCAAAAACTTGTGTGTAAAAGCTTCCCTGTGTAAACGCCTCCGTGTGTAAAGACTCCTCTGTGTAAACCCGTCTGTGTGTCAAAGCTCCTCTAAAGGTTTTTTGCGTAAAAGCTTCTGTGTGAAAAAGTTTTTGTGTGCAAAAGTTTCTGTGTGTAAAAGCTTCTGTGTATAAAAGATTCTTTGTGTAAAAGCTTCTGTGTATAAAAGCTCCCCTGTGTGTACAAGCTTCGCTGCGTAAAAGCTGCTCTATGAAAAAGTTCTGTGCCCCGTAAAGTTGTCTGTTTGTAAAACCTTCTGTGTGTGAACACGTCTGTGTGTACAAGATTCTGTGTGCAAAAGCTCCTCTGTGTAAAGGCTTCTCTGTGTAAACGCGTCTGTGCGTAAAAGCTCCTCTGCGTAAGACTTCTCGGTGTAAAACACTTCTGTGTGTGAAAGCTTCTGTGTGTAAAAACTTCTCTGTGTAAAGGCTTTTTTGTGTAAAAGCTTCTGTGTGTAAAAACTTCTCTGTGTAAAGGCTTTTTTGTGTCAAAGCTTCTGTGTGTAAAAGCTGCTCTGTGTAAAAGTTTCTGTGCGGCGTAAGAGCCTCTATCTGTAAAACCTTCTGTCTGTACTCGTGTCTGTGGGTAAAAGCTTCTGTGTGTAAATCTCCTTTGTGTAAGAACTTCTCTGTGTAAAAGCTCCTGTGTGTCAAGACTTCTCTTCATAAAAAGTTTCTCTCTGGAAAACCATGCACGCATGTAGCCTACCCCTTCCCAACCCAATGGGATCCAAACAGAAGACTTGGTCGATATCATTTGTGCAAAACATCGTTCGAGGCAGGGGAAATGAGAAATGGCAGGGAATAAACATGTGGGAATTCCCACGAAAGGGTCCAAAAAGTACTGTATACATTGAATTTCTGCGGCGGCAAGTGAATTTCATATTGTAAATATATTGTATGCTGACGGCATTCGTTTACGTCAAGAAAAATAAGAAAACAATCAATGACCAAATTTAGCACATTCAGTCAACTGAGAGAATTCTTCGCGTGCCCGGCTGACAGCTCGCTTTATGTTCGCACAGCTTTGACAATCGGTTCGTGTGTCATCAAGGTCATTGCCTTGGCTCATCCACGCGTGCGATGCCTTCAATGGTGGCTGATGGGTCATTTGGAGTGGGGTTGGCGTGGGGTTGGGTGGGGGTAATAGCGTTCATGTCAACTTGAACACACATGGATTGTACGGTGAGCATAGCAATAGAATATGCATCTGGGTCATTTGGGGTGGGGCGGTGTGGGGGGTAAAAACGTCCATGTCAATTTGAAAATATGTCATGCTACGCTGTGGGATCTTCTCTTGCACTTGCACTCATACGTCATGCTACGCTGTGGGATCTTCTCTTGCACTTGCACTATGCATATTTGTGTTTGGTGGGTGGGGGATAGGGTGGGGTGGGGCATGTTAACGTTCCATGAGCATTACACGTTGTCAATGCTTCTCTTGCACTTGCACACATACGTCATGCTATGCTGTGGGATCTTCTCTTGCACTTGCACACATACGTCATGCTACGCTGTGGGATCTTCTCTTGCACTTGCACTATGCATATTTGTGTTTGGGGGGTGGGGGATGGGGTGGGGTGGGGCATGTTACCCCTATCATGAACATTACACGTTCTTCCGACCGGGATTGCTTCTTGCACCGGCTTTGTGTCTGGTCTTCTCTAACTTCGATCTCAATCTTCTAATCTCCACGGCGGCCTTGGAACTGCAGCTTTCCAAGCGATGTCCCACTTGGCCGCATCCGAGACATGTGCGAGGCATTCGATCTTCAACTTTGTCAATGCTAAATTTGTGCTATCAGTCAAAAGTCTGTTCAACATGAAATCTAGATTGTTAGTTTTGCGGTCTCTCAGAAAGCCTGTTCCAAGAGTTCAAATTATCGATGTTTCGGTCCATGATTCAGCTAAGATATCCTAGATGTCAAAAACATTGGGAAAAACATGAAAAACAACATGCAAATGCCTGCTGAACATTCAACTAAACTAAACTTCAGAAATTCAAAACTAAGAGGTGACAGAAACCACTGCGGGTCTCTATGTGCGTGCAGCCTGAAAGCCTCTGCGCGTGCAGGCTTCTCTGTGTCAAGATTTCTCTGTGTAAAGACTTCTCTGTGTAAAAGCTATTCTGTGCCAAAAAACTTTTGTGCGTAAAGGCTTCTGTGTGTAAACGCGTCCTTGTGTCAAAACTCCTGTGTGTAAACGCGTCTGTGTGTAAAGGTTTTTTTTGTAAAATCTTTTGTGTAAAAGCTTCTGTGTGTAAGAGCTTCTCTGTGTAAAGGCTTTCCTGTGAAGAAGCTTCTGCGTGTACAAGCTTTTCCGTGTAAGAGTTACTCGTGTAAAAGCCGCTCTGTGTAAAAGCTTCTCTGTGTAAAAGACTGTGAGTGTGCAAGCTTCTCTGTCAAGACTACCCTGTACAAAGACTTCTCTGTGTAAAAGCTTCTGTGTGTAAAACCTTTCCTGTGTATAAAAGTTCTCTGTGTAAAAGATTCTGTGTGTAAAGTCCTCCCTGTGTACAAGCTTCTCTGTGTAAAACATCTGCCGTGTAAAGCTCCTCTGTGTAAAACCCGTGCCAACAGCTCTCCCCAAGCTATTTCCCACGGTTTCCCGTCCGTCCACCCTGTCGTCGCTTCCGTGTCGCTCCCTCCCCGGAGCTCTCCCCATGCTCTTTCCCACGTTTTCCCGTCCGTACACCCTGTCGTCGCTGAAGTGTCGCTCCCCTCGCGGAAAAATAAACCAAACGAGAACCCAAGCATCGGAGATGCTTTTGGGAAAAACAATTTGCAGTACCAGGATGTACCAGGTATTTCAGTGCCATTTTACTTTTCGAGTGTCTACTGGGGTTGCTACTTGGATGCACATCCCACCCGTTGTTTATAAATGTTGATAACCCATCTAAAACCATAACTGCGGATATTCGATTACTCTAATTGGTGGATGCCTGGGATGCCCCCGCCCGTAGTTGAACTCACTACTTGGTGGCTCGCCCCAGTTGATATAGTTCATAAATTGCTTTTAACCCCAGGTATAAGTAGAGTAAATAGGCTTAGTCCAGTTATAACTGGGGTATACTGGGATTATAACTATAACTATACTAACTGGACTGAGCCACCAAGTATGGTCCATGTTCACCCGCTACGATTGCCACACCGGGACGTCCGAGCTGTCTCAACAACTCGGCGCAAACGATGGGATCGCGCTCCCCGCTGTCTCCAACCAACACCACCTGGCGGGTGGCACAGTTACAGGCACCAGAAGCTGAGAGCATTACATTTACCACCAAAATTATGATTATCTATCGAACTATCTATCCATCCATCCATCCATCCATCCATCCATCTATATGTATGACTATATATATATACACATACCTAAATCAATAAATCAATATCATCTTCGTGATTTTCACAAATATATAATCATATATATATGATATATACTACAGTACAAGTACAACACTATATAGTATATTACTAATAAATAGATAATATATACTATAGTGCCTGTTTCCGTGGGAACTGCCGCAGCAACTCGGAGATCGTGGACTGTTTGAAGTTCACCCGCTCCTCCTGACGCACGATTTGCGTAGCGAAACACACACGCCGATTCTTCAGATCCGCGGTGCCATGAACCATACGGATTTTACAGGGATCTTATAGGATTTATAACTATATAGCAACCACATAAATATATGTATATATAACAATAATCATCAAAAGAATAATAGTTAAATATGTAGGCACTGAACAATATAATTACCTATCAATAATAAGTATATAGCTATGTAATAGATACGTATCAACCTATAACCATCTACAATAGGGACTCAACTATCTGGAGAACTACATTTTTTGACTGATTTAAATATTGGTCAATTGGGATCCTCATCCCAGGGTTGAAACCACCAACCAAATACATATACGAGGGAATATCGGAATATCACCATAAATATCCATGAATGGGTTTGTCTGAAAGTTTTAATTCATTTTATAAACCAGTGGATGGAATAGATGATCCATAGATGGAATGGATAGCTAGAATTAAAATTTACACCATTCCATCCACTGGTTGATCATTACTTTCCCAGCTAAGGGTTGATCCCCCGTTTTCAGACACACTCAGAGATTTTGGGGGTGAAAGCCATCTGCCAAACGAAGGCTGGGCAAGATGGGTAGTAGCTTTAAGCTATATCAGCCGTTTAAGCCACTGGCATGTTCTTATCAAATCGTTTTCCCTTAGATTTATCGCCCAAGTTTGGCTGAGTTACCAGTAACGAGTAACGATCAACATCACAGCCCCCTGGATGATATAGCTGGGCAAACAGCCGAGCGCGTGGAACCAAGGAACTGAAAATTACCGGCTGCGTACAGTATGCCAACACCGTATCACCAGTAAAGACTGTACTAGCAATTCATGTATACATATATATATATATATACATATATATACATATATATATATATATACATATATATATACATACATATATATATATATATATCACGATATATTCACATAAGTGTGTGTGTGTGTGTGTTGTAATTGTTGTATTCCCTGCAAAATCCCTGCAAAACCCTATATTGTTGATGCTTATTTAATATTTATATATATATATATATCTATATATATTATCACAGTTGCAACCGTTAGAACCCCCATCAACCTCCCCCCACAGTGTTCGTCAGAATCTCTCAACCGGATGCGCCGTTACGCTCCTTGGAACCCCCCAGTGGCCGTAGAAACACCGGTGCTAACGGGAAGCCTTCGTGCGGCGGCAACCACCGAATTTGGCAAATCATACCCTGCCTCCTAAAAGAGCCACTATCATCCCAAGAAAGAGGCCAATCAATTATTTACTGTGTATATATATATATATAGAAAATGTAGGTCCTGGAGGGGGGGTTGACCATATATATATATATATACATACATACATTGACTATGGATTGTATGATATGACTATGGATCTGGCTGAATTCCAATATTTCACTAAACTGAACATAGATGAAATAAAGCTATTTGGGGATTCGGATGATTCCTCTTGCTAACCATCATTCCAGTGACGTCACAGCGGTGTCTGATGTCATTATCATTCACCCGCATATATGTGTGTATATATATAATATAATATGTATTCTATCAAGTGCACTATAATCAATTAGGAATATCATCTTAAGCAGGGTGGAATGTCAACGTGCAGAAGCAAGAGTTGAATCTGTTGAAAGCACCAACCACTACACCATCAGTAGCACTGAGTAGCTTTAGCCTCGGGCCGGCCACCAGTAGATGTGTGTTCTTGTGGCTAAGAAATAGTTGGGAACAAACTAAACAAGCTTTTCAGTTTGGTTGTTTATATAGTATATTAAACTATGTGTATGATTGTATATGTAATGCATGTACAGCACCCGACAGAATTATGGAGAAAAAAAAACGTTTCAATTTACAGGCGCCGCCTGTCTATGATAGAAAAGTTACGAACCTTTTTTTTTCCATAATTATTTTTTTTCCCGAATGCGTAGCAAGGGTTCCCGTTTCACTCTGGGGGTCTGGGGGTTGGAGTGTGTTCGCTCGACGTTGCGTCCGCGTCCGCAACCGTTCGCAACCGTCCGCAACCGTCCGCAACCGTTCGCAACCGTCCGCGCGATCCCCGTATGGCCGTGCCTATGGGAAGTTTTGCAGAGGTGGTCCTTTTTGGAGGTTTCAGACGTGTCGTTGCTTCGTTTCGCGTGGCAGGCGTGGCACTTCGTGACATTCAGACGTGTTCTGGAACGTGTCGAAAGTCGTTTTGCGTGGCAGGCGCAATACTTTTGCGACGTTTTCAGAAGATGTGTTGCAGTTTTCGTGGCAGGCGCAGCACTTTGGACGTGTCCATCGTCATTTTTCGTGGCAGGCGCAGCACTTTAGACGTGTCATGTTGCGTGTTTTTGCAAATCGCATTGGCAGGGCTGCGTCAAGTGGCGACAAGGTGCAAATTCCGTGGCAGGCGTGGCATTTTGTGCGATGCGTTGAAAATTGACGGAAGCCTCGCACGAAACATCGATTTTGAGGTTGCCAATTTTCACGTTCTAAGGAAAACTCGTAGGAAAACGTTGATTTTGAAGCTACAAAGTGTGAAAATTGGAGGAAGTCTCGCACGAAATGCTCGTTTTGGCGCTCCCACGTGTCGCGTCTCGCGTCTCTGGTTTTCCCGTGGCCTCGCCGTGTCTATGGGGGAAGCTGCAAAACTTGTCCTTTTGTCATGTTGCCAACTGTGAAAATTGGAGGAAGTCTCGCACGAAATGCTGGTTTTGATGTTCCTACGTGTCTTGTCTCGAGTCTCTGGTTTTCCTGTGGCGTCGCCGTGTCTATGGGGGAAGCTGCAAAACCTCTCCTTTTCGAAGGTTTCCAAGCAGGTTGTCATGTCGTTTTGCGTGGCAGGCGTGGCACTTTGTGACATTCCAACCTGTTTGATAACGTGTCGAAAATGTCAAAATTGGAGGAAGTCTCGCACGAAATGCTCGTTTTTCCTGCACCCACGTGTCTCGTCTCGAGTCTCTGGTTTTCCTGTGGCTTCGCCGTGTCTTTGGGGGAAGCTGCAAAACTTCTCCTTTTCGAAGGTTTCCAAGCAGGTTGTCACGTCGTTTTGCGTGGCAGGCGTGGCACTTTGTGACATTCCAACCTGTTTGCTAACGTGTCGAAAATGTCAAAATTGGAGCAAGTCTCGCACGAAATGCTCGTTTTTCCTGCACCCACGTGTCCCGTCTCGAGTCTCTGGTTTTCCTGTGGCTTCGCCGTGTCTATGGGAGAAGCTCCGCACTCCACACTCTACACTTTACACCCCACACTCCACAATCTACACTTTAGACTCCACACTTTACACTTTACACTCCACACTTTACACTTTGCACTTTACACTCCTCACTCCTCACTCGAGACTTTACACTCCACACTCCACACTTTTACACTCCACACTCCCCACTCTACACTTTACACTCTACACTCCACACTCCACACTTGACATTTTACACTCCAGACTTTACACTTTACACTCTTCACTCCACACTTTACACTTTACACTCCACACTCCTCACTTTACACTCCACACTCCTCACTTTACACTCCACACTCCACACTTGACATTTTACACTCCAGACTTTGCACTTTACACTCTTCACTCCACACTTTACACTTTACACTCCACACTCCTCACTTTACACTCCACACTCCACACTCTACACTTTACACTCCACACTCCACACTTCTCACTTTACACTCCACACTCCTTCCACTCCACACTCCACACTCCACACTCCACACTTTACACTCCACATTCCACACTCCACACTTTACACTCCACATTCCACACTCCACAATTTACACTTTAGACTCCTGACTCCACACTCCACACTACACTATACACTCCACACTCCACACTCCACACTTTACACTCCACACTCCACACTCTACACTCTACACTTTACACCCTACATTCCACACTTTACACTTTACACACTCCAGACTCCTCACTCCACACTTTCCACTCCACACTCCACACTCCTCACTTTACACTCCGCACTCCACACTCTACACTTTACACTCCGCACTCCACACTTTACACTCCACGCTTTACACTTTACACTCCGCACTCCTGACTTTACACTCCACACTCCACACTCCACACTCTACACTTTCCACCCCACACTCCACACTCTACACTTTACACTCCACACTCCTCACTTTACACTCCACACTCCACACTCTACACTTTACACTCCGCACTCCACACTCCACACTTTACACTCCGCAATCCTCACTTTACACTCCGCACTCCTCACTTTACACTCCACACTCCACACTCCACACTACACTTTCCACCCCACACTCCACACTCTACAATTTACACTCCACACTCCACACTTTACACTCCACACTCCACACTCTACACTTTAAACTCCACACTCCACACTTTACACTCCGCACTCCTCACTTTACACTCCACACTCCACACTCTACACTTTCCACCCCACACTCCACACTTTACACTCTACACTCCACACTCCACACTTTACACTCCACACTCTACACTTTACACTCCACACTTTACACCCTACACTTTGCACTCTACGCTCCACACCCCACACTCTACAATTTAAACTCCTCACTCCACACTCCACACTTTACACTCCGCACTCCTCACTTTACACTCCACACTCCACACTCTACACTTTCCACCCCACACTCCCCGCACTCTACACTTTACACTCCACACTCCACACTTTACACTCCACACTCTACACTTTACACTCCACACGCTACACTCCACACTCCACACTGCAGACTGGTAACAGGGGAAATATGTACAAGACTGTTCAAATAAACTATTGCAGAAAAGTGTTCTGCGTGATTGCATATCCATGTGTTTTGACATCTGCGCCATTAACATACGTGTGAGCATTCGGGTTCGTGGGCTGCATCTTGTTTCCATAATTCTGTCGGTGACTGTATGTCCATCGATTCGCAATTTGAATGCATTTTAAGGGGGAATATTGAATTATAGAAAATATGTGTCTAAAGATCTGGTATATGCCCCTAAGTCTTCCATTGATATACATAATATCATGTGATGTTCGCAATTTGAATGCATTTTAAGGGGGAATATTGAATTATAGAAAATATGTGTTTAAAGATCTGGTATATGCCCCTAAAGCCTGCCATTGATATGCATAATATCATGTGATGTTCGCAATTTGAAAGCATTTTAAGGGGGAATATTGAAAATATGTGTCTAAAGATCTGGTATATGCCCCTAAGCCTGCCATTGATATACATAATATCATGTGATGTTCGCAATTTGAATGCATTTTAAGGGGGAATATTGAATTATAGAAAATATGTGTCTAAAGATCTGGTATATGCCCCTAAAGCCTGCCATTGATATACATAATATCATGTATACGGGTATGTACATGTAAACCCCATTTCACCATTAGCTTCCCGACAATAAATCCAAAAATCAACTGCCGCCGCTGAAAAATCAGGTCTCGCGCAACAGGGGTTGCGCCTGTCTTGGGTGCATAACGGTACATACATACATACGTACATACATACATACATACACAGATTCTTATTTGCAGGTACATACCAGCACATATGTGACGGATACAACCTGCCATTTCCATAAATGCCTCCAGATCGATCCAAAATGGTTGCTCCTTGAGGGTGCAGTGATGATGGATGTACATAAGACGACATATGTATGCACATACGCGGCCAAGATGGCATAGAAGCCAAATGGAGCTGCATTTATACATGCAAACAACATGGTACATAGGTAGTCCTTTGCTTGCATACCAGCGCCTACGCGCCACACTCCAAATCCAAATCCCCGTGCGCAAGTGCAGCAATGGGAGCTGCCGGGAAAGATGTTCCTGGTCACCCCACCATCAAAGTGCCGCTTGGTCAGATGAACCAGATTTTTCCATAAATACGGTTTCCCTTTTTTTACGGTGAAAATTTGACATGCACACACTTGGAATATCGATGATGTAACAGTAGGAGATCCCAAATATATGTGTGTACATACATATATCAGTAGGAGAAAAGACCACTGGGAGGGAGCGACATGCTCTTTCTGCGGAAGTTTCCAGCACATCTCCCAGTGGTATACCTAGATAAATGTATGGTCTGGAGCCTTTTAGGAGGGTTTTAAATATATAAATATATAAGTATATAGGCATATAAGTATATAAAGTAAGTAGGAAGATAGACCACTAGGAGGGAGCGAACCGCTCTTGGGTTGCGGAAGTTTCCAAAGCAAACCTCCTAGTGGTCAGATACTAGATACAATGGTATGGTGTGATGATTGGATTGCCTTCGTTTCCGTTTATGATTTCTTCAAGTGAAACGTGTTCATGATGCTCTGCCTTTTTGCTTCTGCCGATGATGGTGCGCTGACTATTTTTTTGCTATAGATGGTGATGAACCCCTTCCCAAATACATATATTATATCTCATAAAATTATTCTCTCTTCCTTTTGAAAATTCTTACCCTCTCCCCATTTAATGGATTTAAAATCTATGCGACCCTCACCAGTCATAAATTCTGACATTCAAGGGTGGTTTTTGGCTTAGCCACCTTGCCATGTATATGGAACCATTGTTTTCCAAAATTATGTTTTCCCAGCAATCTGTGGGGTATATTGCCAAATAGTTTACATCCATACATACATATACATATTTGTAGATACCCAACAGTGCGCAGGTTCTCAAAGCACGTGGCCTGCAGACCTACGCAGTCTTGCAGCCGAGTATTTCGCTTTGCTGAGTTTGGGGGTGAGGAGAAATCCGTCGAGAAAGCCAAGCAGTTTGTCGCCCTCGTGAAAACCGTCCTCCGGGCGTTTGACAAGGCACAGAAGGCCGAACGTGCTGAAATTTTGGAGAAGCACAAGGCCAAGCCCAAAAGAAGCATCTATGACACCCGCAATGCCTTTGAAATTCACTTGTACCAGGGTTTGTCTCCTCATTTCGAAAACCTGCTGAAAGAAGCAAAGCCAGCCACTGGACAGAAATGGGGAAGGAACATGCTTGTTCCAATACATATGTACATACATACATACATACGTACATACATACGTACATACTTGGATATTGGGAATTAGTTTGGGCTTACATACACTATATTCATCTACATTCATTTTTCCAAAATTCTTTGTGCCTCACAAGGCCCATGCCAAATTAACATCTTGAGGACGCAAATGAGCACACATGCATGCATGCATACATACATACATCCGTACATCAGCACGGTTTTACATACATACACTCATTCAGGCCACAGCAGCGGTGGAAGTCGCCCCGGCAGATCCCTCCAGTGCAGCTGGCTTCGATGGACCCTGCACCTCTTCAGCTACCGGAGCTGTCTCTATCCAAGAGCCCCCCCAAGCAGAGGGCATCCACCAAATAGGGGACCGGTTTGAAGTGGTTGTCGATTCCACAGTAGGGAAGATCACCCAGATATTTGACACCAGAAAGAAGGCTGAATCATGGTATGCTGCGGCGTTGGACCTCAAAGCCAAAAATTCACTGGGACCTCTGTTGAAGGGTTTCCAAGCCGCTGTCGAGAGCAATTCCAAACACCTGGAAGCTTGTGAGTCTGTGAAGGGCAATCATGTCATGGAGGTGGGGGGGTCTTACTTTTTCCATAATTAGCAACTCCCTGTTAAAACCTACATTTTCAACACATGTTTGCGTACATGTGGGGTAAAACCAGCCACATGCATACATACAGACTTTAAGTGTCACCTTACATACGCACATGCATACATACGTACATATGTACATACATACGTGCGCCCCGTCAGGCGGATGCGTCTTCAGCATTTCGCTTTGAAGATGGCTCTGCGGTTTGGGACGATCTTGTGGGGGCAGAAGTTGCTGACGGAGAAGCCGGGGAAGCAAAACCTAGCCTTCCTGAGTGTGCTGTTCGTCTCCATGGCGGTACTCTCAAGGCCTTCACTGCTAGTGTTCGAAATGTAGGGGGAAAGAGGTACGCAGTTTTTCTTGGAAACCACTGGAAGGGCAAGGGGGCATCATCCATCTGGAGAACAAACAAGCTGATTGCTTCATCCAATTTAGAGGCCCTTTTCAAAAGTGCTCAGAAACACATCGGTGAATCTGATACTGGTGATATGTGGGTTCTGGGAATGGCTGCTGTGGATGTTTCTGAGTCCAAGATTTCTGTTGATCAACCTGATGCCTCGCTCCTAGATTGGTTGGGGCAATTTTCTCCTGCGGGGAAGCTCTCAGAGCAGTTTGCCGTACTCATTGGCAACATTGCCCCTGTCACAGCCGACAGATCAATGCGTTTCTTCCAGATCGATGCTGCAACGAACCAGGCGACGCATGTTTCGATGTCTTTTTTGACGAAGAGGCTTGCGAATGAGACATTCCACTGTTATGATGCAGACCAGCACGGGTGCTCATTTTCACTGCGGGACATCGTTGAGGGAGCTGTTTATGATTCTTGACACGCAAATATTGTCATGCACATATGTACATACACAATGCTACCGGCACACATATGCGCACCTCTACAGAATCAACTTTGAATACATACATACATAGCGAGAACCAGCATTTACATAAACCGCACAGAGTAGGGCAGCCCTTTTTAATGGAAAAAAACACTTCCTCAGCCAGTGGCAACGCTAGATATGTACACACGTGCATGCGCGGATGGTATGCGGAACCCATCTGATTTGCAACCCAGGACCAGATTTCTGATAAGAAGCGCTTTGGCCTGGTGCAAACAATGAAGTCGGGCCTTTTTTTCTGGCAGTGCCTGCTGTTCATGCAGCAACCTGTGTCTTGGAGCTCACCGTGATTCTGAAATTTCCCTTTTCCCAGAAACCTGTTTCTAGAAATGTTTACATGATACATTTTTTTATACATACATACATAGATAGCTAGCCATCTGCCTCAAGCTATGGGGGTACCTGATTGTGGACATAATCTATGGATAGAAATGTCATTTTTGAACCAAATTTCGACCAAAAAAAATCGAAAAAAAATATTTTAAATTGTCATTCCAATACCTTGAGAATGATCCACTGAATGTCTTAAACCTGATTGTGGACAGAACTTATGGATAGAAATGATTTTTTAAAATTTATAAAAGTGACATTTCTCATTTTGAATCATTTCACCGTTGTGTTTTCCCCCCTTTGGGTCTCCCCTTTCTTTCTCCCCTTGTTGTTTCCCCGTTGTACCTCCCCGTTTTGGGGTCGAAGTCCTCGGGCCTGGCAGAGTCGTTTTTCGTTGTGTTCCCCCTCGGCAGACCTCGGCCTGGCAGGCTCTCGGCAGAGCACAACAGGGAGACACAACGGGAGAACCACAACGGGAAAATGATGCAAAATGAGAAATGTCACTTTTATAATTTTAATACTTTTTAAAAAAATAGATTTCTATCACTAATTTATGTATGTAAGGCCTTATTGAGGCCATAATAGATTAATAATAGATAATAGCCATATAAAACCTTGAAAATGAACCACTGAATGTTTTAAAACTGATTGTAGACATAAATGTATCTATAGAAACTACTTTTTTGAACATATTTTGACAAAAAATAGTTTTTTATCAAAAAATAAAACTTTCATTCCAATACATTGAAAATGAACCACTGAATGTTTTAAAACTGATTTTGGACACAATTTATGGATAGAAAGCTACTTTTTAAAATTTTACAAACTATAAAAGTGACATTTCTCATTTTGCATCACTTTCCCGTTGTGGTTCTCCCGTTGTGTCTCCCCGTTGGACCACCCCGTTGTTCAGGCCATCTGCCCGGAGCCAGCTCTGCACAATAAGGAGCAGGAAATGGGGAGACACAACGGGAGAACCACAACGGGGAAAGTGATGCAAAATGAGAAATGTCACTTTTATAGTTTGTAAACTAGAAAAAGTTGCCTTTAAAACATATTGAAATATTAAAATTGTGCATATGTGCTGAATAAATTTATATCCACAACCAATTTAAAAACATTCAGTGGATCAGTTCAAAGGTATTGGAATGAAAATTTATTTAAAAAAAAAACATTTTTTGGTCAAAATATGTTCAAAAAAACTAATTTCTTTCCATAAATTTATGTCCACAATCAGTTTTAAAACATTCAGTGGTTCATTCTCAAGGTATTTGAATGAACATTTATTTATTTTTGAAACAAATATTTTTTTGGTCAAAATATGTTCAAAAAAGTAGTTTCTATAGATACATTTATGTCCACAATCAGTTTTAAAACATTCAGTGGTTCATTTTCAAGGTATTTGAATGAAAATTTATTTTTTTTTGAAAAATATTTTTTGGTCAAAATATGTTCAAAAAAGTAGTTTCTATAGATACATTTATGTCTACAATCAGTTGTAAAACATTCAGTGGTTCATTTTCAAGGTTTTATATGGCTATTATCTATTATTAATCTATTATGGCCTCAATAAGGCCTTACATACATAATAAGAACAAATACATACATCTTTCTCTCCAAAGGTCACTGGGATCTTGGTCGCTCGTATGATTGGAGTGTTTCTGTTTGTCTGGGATCTTTTGTGAATGATATGCTGACATTCTATCTGACATTTTATCTTCGTACAAACATCTTTGTCCAAAACAATTTCAAAGCAACATTACCCTTCTGCTTTGAAAATACCGTGTTGTTTGTCCTTCTGACATTCTATCTGACATCTCTTCTGACATTTTTCCAGTATGAGCAGCTTGTCGCTCAGGAGTGGCAGAAAGTTACGCGCGGCCCCCATGGGACACCAATGGTCACAAACATTGAGGAGTCTGAGCTCAAGGCTGCTCGTGATTTGCAGGGTCATTTTCTCGAGCTTCTGCGTGAATTCCAGTCGCAGGTGGAGGGCACGGACCCTGAGGTGCAGAAACTCTTGCAAGAATTGGGGGAGGATTTCAAGAAAGGCGCAGGAGTAGAAGTTTACTACCTGTGGATCGTAGCCCATGTCTTGCAGATACAGATCAGGTGCTCCATGCGACGTAACTTTGCAAAGGCTTTGTCAGCCAGGGAGAACCAGCAGGTTGAGGTGTTGGAAGATGCTGTCTATGGGCCAAAGGGCAAACCGGTGCTCCATGTGTTTTACTCGCCGAATTTCAATCACCAAGCTGAGCGCTTCTTGCACTGTGACTTTGTGTATCCTGATGCTGGTGGCAATTTGCTCCTGTGCCAGACGACGGACGTTTATCACAGCAAAGGGCGCCTTGCTCTGCCTGATCTTTGTCTCCTTGGTTCTTCATGCCTTGTAGGTGCCCCCCCTGCCTAGTGCAGAGTCTGTGCAGGAAGACCGACATCCCCAGCGAGGCCACCACACCGTTTGGGTTAGCATGGGGCCATGCAAATAGGTATACATACATACATGCATGCATGCATGCATGCATACATACATACATACATACAGGTTACATACATACATACATGCATGCATGCATGCATACATGCATGCATACATACATACATACATATTGCTCAGAACGGGGGAAAACTTAATTTTGGAAAAAACACATGTTTATTTCCATTATGTATGTTTCCTTGTTTTTTACCGCTACCATATGTACTTGATAAGAAAGATACACTTCTATAAACATAAACAGTTTCCATGCAAAAGGTTTTCCCCGAACACCTTTCATTTCCATGGCAGACAGAGGGCATCGGGAATTTTGGAAAATCCTCATTTTAGCAACCCTACATACTTTCGTTACATATACATATGTACATAGACATTTGTGTTTGCCGGTGCTCATATAGTAGCAGGGGGCATGCGCAAAGTCATGTTCGTTGCACCTTTTGGGTCAAGAAGGGACCAGGATATCTTTCTAGACGGGCGCTTACATAAATCCTACGAAGCGTCAGTTTTGCACTCATTTTGCTTGCGCACGGCTCTGATGGCAAGCCCCCAACATGGTGTTGAAGGTGTGACTGTGAAGATGGGCCGGTTGGAGATCAGTGTCAAGGTCACAGGGGAGTCGCGAAATGACTCAGAGTGGGAGGTTGTGGAAGGCACTAGTGAGGAGCAAAGTGGTGATCAGCAAGTTGTCAATGCCACGACTATGGACTCTTTGAATCAACTCATTTCTGGTCCATTGGCCTTTTTGAAGCCTTTGGCCAACAAGTTGCATGCCAAGGATTCAGTGTGGTCCTCTGACTCAAGGATTGCCCGAGCCTACCAGAAAGGGGTGCTGGCTCGCCTTGGTGTCGCTGATGGGCACAGTTTTCCTTCTATTCCCTTCAAGCCATCTCATTATTTTTGCTTCGAATGCCCCGACCACCCTGATGGATTTTGGACCACATCAAAGAAAACCATACAGTCCAAAATGGGTGATGATGATGCGGTGTGTTTCATGTGCGCCAGTCGCTCAGAAGGGGACGCCTTCCTGCTAGGAGCTAAGCGCTCGTGGCCCCAATTTTTGAAGTGACAGTGGTGTGGTCTCTAGATTTCTGCAACCAAATTCAAAACGTGCGTGCGAAACGCAGATAATTTGTCCACAAACGTACATTACTTATTTGGAAGCCGCAGCTTCATGATTTGCAGCCGCAATTTCCAAGATCTGCAGGTCGCTCTCTGAAAAGTGCTCAGCATGGGCTCTAGAAAGGGAAAGGGAGGGCGCACATATAAGTGCATACATATGTACATGCATTGTTTTCAACCATGCTTGGTCATGCATGCATGCATGCATGCATACATACATGTTTTTTTAACATTTACACATGCACACATACATGGCCACATACAAACATACATATGTAAACACGTAATTGCTGCCCAAGCCTGGCAAGAACCAGTCCCAGAGAATTATGGAAAAATGCATACATATGTACATGCATTGTTTTCAACCATGCTTGGTCATGCATGCATGCATGCATGCATACATACATGTTTTTCTTTTAACATTTACACATGCACACATACATGGCCACATACAAACATACATATGTAAACACGTAATTGCTGCCCAAGCCTGGCAAGAACCAGTCCCAGAGAATTATGGAAAAAATGCATACATATGTACATGCATTGTTTTCAACCATGCTTGGTCATGCATGCATGCATGCATGCATACATGTTGTTTTTTTAACATTTACACATGCACACATACATGGCCACATACAAACATACATATGTAAACACGTAATTGCTGCCCAAACCTGGCAAGAACCAGTCCCAGAGAATTATGGAAAAAATGCATACATATGTACATGCATTGTTTTCAACCATGCTTGGTCATGCATGCATGCATGCATGCATGCATGCATGCATGCATACATGCATGTTTTTTTAAACATTTACACATGCACACATACATGGCCACATACAAACATACATATGTAAACACGTAATTGCTGCCCAAGCCTGGCAAGAACCAGTCCCAGAGAATTATGGAAAAATGCATACATATGTACATGCATTGTTTTCAACCATGCTTGGTCATGCATGCATGCATGCATGCATACATGTTTTT